GCCATTACCCACTGTCTTCAAAACCTGAATGATCAAAATAGTATACATGAAAAGATTTCAGGAATTCATAAGTTTTCTGGTTTTCCTTGATGGCCCTTTCCAGTCACCTACCCTACATATGAAAATGAGAGCCTATTTCTGTTTTCAGATTGCAGAGGGAATGGCGTACATCGAGCGGAAGAACTACATTCACCGGGACCTGCGAGCAGCTAATGTCCTGGTCTCCGAGTCACTCATGTGCAAAATTGCAGATTTTGGCCTTGCTAGAGTAATTGAAGATAATGAGTACACAGCAAGGGAAGGTATGTTCCAGTAACGATCTTTAGATGTTTTATTATTGTGTTTTATTTTGTTTTTTTCTGTTTTTGACAAAGCAATTGCAATAGTCATCATTAAGAAAAACTTATTTGGTACAACATTTAAGCTGTACCATAATTGTCTGCTTACGGTTCTATTCTAATAGTTTCTAGAAAGTACTCTCTTGATTAACTCCACATGATACTTTTGTTAGGCTTACAAATGCTATCAGTTGTATTTCAATTAAGCAATACAAAACACAAATAGATTCAGCAAGATCAAGATTCTTGTTTATTTTACATTGTTAAAGTTTTCACTCAAACAATGAATATATGGGGCTGTGGAGGAAATATTTGTAACATTAATTCTATGTTCTTTATTCCAGCCTTTTAATTACAAATTAAAACATGAACATTATCATACACACAGAACTAAATATAATGCAAAAAATCTACTTCTTTATTTTCCTACATTCTGTATTATATATGGGAATCAAAAATGCACAGAGAGGCCTAAGTTCCCCAGCTTGTGGCACACTGTCCGGGAGCCGAGCACGGTCGGGACTGCACAGGCCTTTCTTGGGCTAGGATTGCCTGTGCGGTTATGACTGAGGATTCTTATGCTCTCACCCATGAGAGCTGAGCCAATATTTTTGCAGTGCTCACTCTCTTCTGGAAGAAACATGCACTTTCTTGAAATTCCTGAGCATTGCTGAGCAAGGATTATTATTATTTTATTTTATTTTTTTGAGACGGAGTTTTGCTCTTGTTGCCCAGGCTGGAGTGCAATGGCGTGATCTCGGCTCACTGCAACCTCTGCATCCTGGGTTCAAGGGATTCTTCTGCCTCAGCCTTCCGAGTAGCTGGGATTACAGGCGTGCGCCACCACACCTGGCTAATTTTGTATTTTTAGTAGAGGGGGTTTTTTTCCATGTTGGTCAGGCTGGTCTTGAACTCCCGACCTCAGGTGATCCACCTGCCTCAGCCTCCCAAGTGCTGGGATTACAAGTGTGAGCCACTGCACCTGGCAAGATTATTATTATTTTTAAATGACATGTTTGTTATTTCTGGAAGAGGTAATAAGCAGATTGATTTGATTTGTTGAACATCTCCTGCTTCCATCATGTGTAGGATGGTTCCCTTCCTGCCTCAAGCATATGTTCTCGAAAGTGGATTAACTTATCCTTGACCTCAATGATTATCTCTAGCAAAAAGGCAGGCAAAGGAGAATGATCTAAAGAAAAGGAGTTAAAAAAAATAATAGCTAAGGCCGGGCGCAGTGACTCACGCCTGTAATCCCAGCACTTTAGGAGGCCGAGACGGGCGGATCACGAGGTCAGGAGACCGAGACCATCCTGGCTAACACGGTGAAACCCCGTCTCTACTAGAAATACAAATAATTAGCTGGGCGTGATGGCGGGCACCTGTAGTCCCAACTACTTGGGAGGCTGAGGCAGGAGAATGACATGAACCCGGAGGCGGAGCTTAGAGTGAGCAGAGATTGCTCTACTACACTCCAGCCTGGGCGACAGAGCAAGCCTCTGTCTCAAAAAATAAAAATAAAAAATAATAATAGCTAAAATGTATTCAGCATTTATGATGTGTAAATGGGCTTTTCATTCATTATTTCATTTATCTTTACAATAATCCCATATGATAGATGTTAATATTATCATCACTATTCGCAATTTACAGAGGAGGAAACTGAGAGATTCTGCAAGTTTTTGAGGTCCCACAGTAAGTGATAGAGCTAAGATTCAAAGCCAGGAAATCTAACTTCAAAGTATCTGAACTAGAATTGGTTACACTGGTTTTATTGAATCTAACAAGCTGAGAGTTTCACAAAAATAACTGTTCTCAGGCAAAGACCATGGCTTAGTGCAGAGCACATGTTCTAGATCTAACAGCATCCTCTTCCTGGCATATCTCAGGATGACAATAATGATGCTTACCTTCATTGGTAAGTACCATTCATTGGTACCTTCATTACCATACTTGATTAGTGTTTACACTGTGCCAAGCCCACAGATCAACCCATTTAATCCTCACAGCAACCTAGGAAGGTTTTGTTGTTTCCTCAGTTTACACATGGAAGCACCAAAGCTGCACAAAGACAGCAAGTGACTTGCCAGGATCACACCAAGCAGAAAACAGCAGATGCGGGATTCAAACCAGGGCTGTGGGGTGCCCAAGCCAAGCTCCAGCCATGGTCCTGCCTGCTGTCTCTGCACACTGCTGCTCCAGGCAGG